AAGTAGAGCAATGAAAAATTGGGTAGTCGAAGCCCAAGTACATCAACAAGTGATCATATCAATTGATTCAAGAAGAAATCATATTTAAGAATAACTCAGAGAAATATAAAGTTACGAGTACCATCAAAAGAAGTATTCTTATCAATTGAAGCTTTTTCACCCCAGAAATCTTTCGAGCAACTACATCACTAGTCCCAATCAAGACCCCAGCAGCGATATTCAACTCCAATAAAACACCCATTTAATATACTCCGCAAATTTTCCACCTAAATTACCACTCTTCTTTATTTATTATACTGTAAATTTCCATGAATCCTCTTAGCTCTACCTGGTTTCACCCTCCCCCCTTCTTGACCCACGGGTGAGTATTCTCCGCCGTCGCCGTTGTCTGGCTGTGGTGGAAGACCCAAATGCTCCCAGGAAACGGGCGTAGCTTGCGAGAGAGAAGGGTTTCCTTCTTCCAGTTGCGCAGGGAAAATCGATTCCCAGCTGAAACGAGAGAAAAGGTTTTCCTCAATTTGGTGGAAAATAGGTCACGTAAGGGTTAAATGAGAAAATATTTTGACTGGAAAATTTAACCTATCAAACATGTCAAAAAGTCGAAAATGGAACTTATTTTCTATCTTTCCTAGAAAAAACAGCCTATCAAACAGGGCCTAACTATCAAGTAGAAAATTCTTTGAGGTCATGATTGTGCATATTAAATAGGAGTTAAATTCATATTGCGAATATATGTTCTCCATTGTTTCAAATTTTAATTTCTTGGCCCCGATATATTAACCAACAATTTAATCTCACTCTTTGATACCTTAAAGAACTTCAAGTTAGCAATCGAAGTCCATTATCTACTCAAATTAAGGTCACACTTATGACAGTTGAGTAAAATAAAATAACTATTTTCAATGTCACAAATTAAATTTCGTGTGATCCAATCCAATACATTCAAAAAGTATTCTCACAATCTTATTACCAAAGTTAAAGATGAACTTTAATATGAGACGATCTTTATCAAAATAAAATTTTCATCTTTGTTACATATTGTAAACTAAAATTTTAGGTCGAATTGTAAATCAATTTTTTCCGTACTTGATAACTTAGACATTTATAATATCATAATGATATATGAACAAATGCAATCTTAAATTAATACAAACAATTTATCGAAAGTAATATTTTATTTCAAAATATCGCGAGTAGAAATAAATTTACTTAACGGATAAACACTATCCGAAATTAATATCGGTTGTATTTATAACAATTGTGTATATAAAACTTCAAAAATATATTAGCAAAAATTGTACCAATTTTAACATGTACACCTCATTTCACATAAAACAAAGCAACTTACAACTATCTATTAATTTATTTTTTAAAACTAAACAATTTTTTGTATTCATAGTAACAAGTAATTAATGCGGTCTTATTTGATGGAATGATCATAAAGAAGTCAAAAGAACCTCGAATGGGAGAATAAAACAAGAAGTCATTCTCCTATTAGAAAGAGAAAGAATCCCATGTAACCCTTTATATTTTCAATTCAAACTTTTACATACAATAAAAAATCAATTTTGTTACATATACGTCAAATTTGACATTGTGTGAGGTGACAACTTTTTATACATTAATTTTAACATCACAATTTTCAATCATTTTCGAGATTTCATCCGCATATGGGTAATATCATCCACAATATAACCCAAGAATGTACAACTACGAAAATGCTACATGTACACTCCAAGTATACATCCTTGTTGACATTTGATGTATTGTTAAAAAAATGGTTGGAGGGAAAAATGTTAATATTTTAAACTGTTGGATGATGTATTGTCACGTAACAAAATGTAAAGAATAATGTAAAAGATGATATACGTGTAGTACGATTGGTACAGCTAGCATAACTAATAAAAAAAACGAGCAAGAACAAATAATTATACTTCTCTATTTTTATGAATTGTTCAATTACATATCGACATGAAATTATAAAGTCAAAATTAATTATCCTTCTATATTTATTGAATTATATAAATTGTGTGATGGATTTTTGAAAAAGTAGCTGTAGAAATTAATTATAGTTCTTTTTTTTGAATTTTCTAATCGATTTCTCTACCCTTTTTCCTAAAATGAACCAAAACAAATTAATTATACTTCTTTAATTTTGAAATTATGTCCTGCATAATCATGATATCTCAACTTCTTTCCGAAAAGTCAAAATTAATTAAAATTCTTTATTTTTAACTTGTTTGGTACATCAATCTTTCAACTCATTTTTACTTATACATGACGAAATTAATAATACTTATTTATCTCTTAATTTTTGTCACATGAACATCTCAATCATGTTTTTCCATACAATTGACAAATCAAATTTAATTATATTTCTTTAAATTCTAGATGGTTCTACATCCATCTTTCTCTCAACTTCCTTCTTGAAATGAGTAGGAAGAAATTTAACCTTTTTTATCATTTGAATTGTTTTAAGTTGATCTTGTGCTCTCTTTTCTTCGAAGAAATTGACTACAATTCTTTATTTTTTCAATTACATCTGATTTCTCAATTCCCTTTTTTCTTTAAGCAATACGATTAATGAATATGTACCAAAATATCCAACATTTTCCTTCGAAAAATGACTACATCTACCAAAAATGAAAATTCGAAAATTTAAATATAGTTTGAAACCAGCAATTTTTCGAAAAAAATTAATTATGTTTCTTCAACATTGAATTTTTTTAATCAAATGAGTTACTCTAATCGAAATCTTTGCTTGAATTTGATATCGATTAAAATTTACTAAAAATTTCAACCATAAATTTCATGGAATTCAACATTTTTCAATTATATATTTCATCATTTTTTAATCAAAATTAACTAAAAATTTAATTTTAATATACACCAAACAACTTTAATAACTAATAGGACCTTGAAACGAATAATGTCATTCATAATGAGATCGTTGGTAGTCGTCTAACGTGGCATATATGTGACAATTTGTTATTTACTGCATGAGACAATGAAAAACTAACACTTATCGTTGGTAGTCGTCTAACGTGACATGTATGTGACAATTTGTTATTTACCGCATGAAACAATGAAAAACTAACACTTATGTATCAAATAATAAATTATCACAAGACTTTTATTTTGCATTGAAGGTGTTAAAGGTCAACCTCTATCTTACTGGCACCAACCTAGCCCCCTTAACTGATTCTCTAATCCAACGGTTCGTGACAAACTTTGACTTTCTGTACCCAATGTGATCATCGCTACCACAGCGGCACAGGCTCCTTAATCGATTCCTATTAAAATTTACGTAGTAAATTATATAATGTTACTCTATTATTTGTTAATTTAAAATATAATTAAATTTTTAATCTATTTTTTTTTCTAACATCATATATTATATAATTCATTAGGTATAAATTTTTTTTTTTTTTTTTATGTACAAGTACAAAATCCTAAAGTTGGTCAATGCCCCTTCTCAGTCTCTCTCTCTTAGATCTCCACGTGGTATCATATCATTGGTTATATCCCTTTGATGAGAGGCAGGTCAGAAACAACATCACATTGAAAGAAGAGAAAAAAGTGAAAGGGTATAATCATTTTGACTCTCCCCAATACAACACACACTCTCTCTCTCTCTCTCTATTTTATCAGACTTCAGCCCTTGTTTCAACTTCTGCTTTTTTCTATCTTTCCTTCTTTCTCTGTCTAAGTTGAGTATTTTTTTCGTATAAAGTTTGGTTTTTGAATGGTTTTCTGAAGATGGCTGTGGAGTTGATGCCAGGATATAGAACCGCCGGCGCCGGATATACGTCAAAAATGGAAGAACACGCGGCCCAAGAAGCGGCGGCGGCCGGGCTGCAAAGCGTGGAGAAGCTAATCAGATTAATGTCTCAACCCCAAAACAAGCAAAGTTTTCAAGAATCATCGTCTTCAAAACCCATAAACACAGAATACCAAGCGGTTGCCGATGTGGCGGTGAACAAATTCAAGAAATTTATTTCATTGCTCGACCACAACCGGACCGGCCACGCCAGGTTCCGGCGAGGCCCGGTTAGTAATCATCAGCAGAAAATCAAAAAAGGATCTGATACAGAACCGGTCGGAATACTGCAGAATCAGCCCACAATTCCACAAAATGTTTGTGAAGTGAAGGAAAAAAATAGTCCGACCGGAAGAATTTATTGTCCGACGCCGATTCAGAGGCTTCCGCCGATTCAGCATCACCATCAATTGTCCAGGAACGGATCGATGGAGAGGAAAGAATCGTCGACCACCATAAATTTTGCTTCGCCTGCGAATTCATTTATGTCGTCGTTGACTGGCCACACCGAAAGCTTGCAGCCTTCGATGTCGTCGTGTTTTCAGATCACCAACCTTTCACAGGTGTCGTCCGCTGGCCGGCCGCCTCTATCTACGTCCTCGTTTAAGCGGAAGTGCAGCTCGATGGATGACTCGAATGTTAAGTGTGGTGGTGGGTCGTCCAGCTCTCGTTGCCATTGTCCCAAGAAAAGGTAAAAGGTCAACTCTAAGTAATAATGAATGAAAAATCAAATTAATAATTATCTTCATAATTAAGATTTTCTTTCCAATAATAATTAAGATCTGAGCAATTGATTTATGATTATATTTTCTTTAATTAGAAAATCAAGGGTGAAGAGAGTCGTTAAAATGCCCGCGATAAGCATGAAGATGTCGGACATTCCACCCGACGAGTACTCATGGAGAAAGTATGGTCAAAAGCCAATCAAAGGTTCCCCTCATCCTAGGTGAGTTTGTTATGTATTTGTTCGGAGCATTAAATTGAACAGAATTGATTTCCTAAGCATTGATACATAGTTATAAATGTTTTTCATGCACATCTATTCTAATCGTGTACAATACAACCTACCGTAGAATATCAAGTATGCCATGAAAACTTTTAAATAAAAAAGTTAGGTAAACAAATTGTAGTCGCCTCACATTGGTTGAGTGCATATTTGTAACGCAATGAAACGTGACATGACTCGATATGGGTAGTAGTATAATAATATGATTATTTACTTATAATTTCAGGGGATATTACAAGTGTAGTAGTGTAAGAGGATGCCCGGCTCGTAAGCATGTTGAAAGGTCATTGGATGATCCATCGATGCTAATTGTCACCTACGAGGGAGAGCATAATCACGTGCAGTCGAGTGCACAAACACCGGCAGCTCTAGTTATGGAATAATCTTGATGATCGATGTGATCTGATAGAAAGACGGTTTATTGGACGACGTTGCCCCACCTGCAAAGAAAAAGAGTCCAAAGATAGTTTGGATGCTCTCTCCTTTTGCAACTCCCTAGACAAATGTGTTGGGGTCCATTTGTTTATTATTGTCTTGCCCGTTGAAAAAACTTTGATTCTGTGTAGAAAAAGTAATAGCAAGAAAAGGAAAGCAAACTGTGGATTTGGTGGGAATTGAATCTTGCAACTATTTGGGGTTTTTTCAAGAAGAAAAAAAGATCTCTCTCTCTCTCTCTCTCTCTCATCAAAGGTTTCAAAGTTTTTAAATTTGTGCATACTGATACTACTCTCCAATCTACGTCCTCCATCTAATAAAAGATCTTACTACACGTACATCGATATTTAGATAATGAAGAACGTAATATCATGTAATACTCTATCATTTGTCAGTTATGTGCAAATAGCAAAATCTCTAATAAAAATAGGATAATTCTATTTGTACCGAAAATGGTGTACCGAAAATGTTACACCCTCTTACATGTGCGTGGGGCTCGCGTGAATAAAAAACTCTCAAATTTGTGGTCCCCACACCCTATCGTGAATGTATGTAAAAAATTATGTAAAAAAAGGGTATACATGTAGCATAACTCATAAAAATATATTACTTTTATTCATAATTAACGACTGCAGTAGTCGTTACACGTGACATCTTATGAGGTATACTATTATTAAATTCTTTTTTTTAAAATTACTAAACGTAAAATGCCATGTATGATACTGTTGGAGTCGTTGATTATGAATGCAATTATTGATAAAGATATTTGTTTTCTTTTTTCGTTTATCCCAAATTATATGTTACTTTTCTTATTGATAGTATAATTGATTTTTAGTTTTCTAATATACTTTGTTTATTGTGTCTTATTATCAACAAATATAAAATACTTTTATTTAAACATTATTTAATGTATGGGTATAGTAGGAAAAATGTAAAAAAAAAAAAAAAAAATTATAATTAATCTGTGTGAAAATGGTGAATGTAAACTAATCTGTGTGAAAATGAAAATAAGTATATTTTTATGGGACGTATGAAGTAGCATTTGTGTGCGCTTTTTTTGCATATTAATCTCTAGTTGACGAATTTCATCTAAGCTGCAGTTAACTTTGTCAAAGTTTAATATATAAGATATTATACTCTTATTTACATCCAATAAAAGTAAATAAAAACTTGTTCTCATCTCACCTTATCGTCATCCTCACTCGTCTAAAAACTACAATAAGCGACGGGGAGAAAGTTGGAAAGACTTGGGTTGGTAGCGAGAGGCATCTTGCTAGCAGTAGCAGAGTGGATTGGGAAGAAGACGAGGGGCCGATGTGGGAAAAAGAAAGAGAAGAGGTTGAAGACTTACAAGGTTGAAGGCTTAAATATATCATAATATAAAGATCAAGGACCTAATTCCAATACAACACATAGTTTGAGAACCACATCGTAATTTTCTTTATATATAATATTTTGATTCTCATTGTCTTCCTCTTGTATTTGGTATCGAGTGATGCCAACTTTTACTTGTTCCCATTTCCACTAGGCAATTTTTTAAACAAGGAATTTCCATTAAAACACTTTTATCTAATCTAATCTAATCATATATTTCATATTTAGTGCAAGAAGATTGATTATATTAATTAATTAGATTTGTGTTAAGTGGGGAAGCATTAACCTATAAACAAATATTATAGAAATTGTTAGTCAATTAAGAATCAATAGGCAATAATTTAATTGAGAAGTGTCGTGTATGGAATGGTTGACAATTTATTTATAGAATTATTAGGAAGAAGATAAATGAATAATGGTGGGTGGGGGAGGGAGTTTGGACTTTTTTGAGTGGAAATTAATCAATAAATATGTTAGGTTTATTTGGACTTTTAGAGTCAAAATTTTAATTATTAAATATGTTAGGTTTATTTATTGACTCACTCGTGCACTAGGGTATGCATCGTGGGTTCTATTAATACACATAGATGTATCTTGAAACTTATGTCTACCATTGTGAATTTGTTAAATAGGTAATAATGTTTTTTACATTGAATTAGATGTATAGAGTTGAGTATAAATAATGATGAAATTTATTATATACTTATTTTATAGAATTATATTCAATTCATCGTTAAAAAAAAAAAAGTGCTTAATACTAAGCGTTGCATGATGAGTTCGATTACAGAGACGCAATATGTATAATTGCATACGTTCGTGTCTATTATGTAGTAAGAAATCCCATATTCATCTCAGGGTCATATATTGACTATAAAAGTAGGAGTGTGCATGGTGCACCTCCATCCACAAAGCGAATACAAATTGCAATTCTTAAATAATTTTGTTACTTGTATATAAAAAAAAATGTACATGAAGCGATTATCAAAAATGATGTGGGGTGAAAAGATTAAATGAAAAAGTTGATTGTATTTTAAACCGACATTATATATATCAAGTATGTAACTCATTATGTAAATCTTGATGTACATGCAGCAAGATGCTTCCGCATATATGTGTAGAATTGGAACCGTGGGGGACTGTTTTATTCTGAGTAGTCCAACTCTTCTTATGCTTCAAAAAAATTGCAAAAATTTTTAGTTTCAATTCCATAATTTCTTTTTTCAGCTAAAGTGTTAAGATCATCATTCAATACACATATAAATTTACATATATTCATAGTTCAATTATTTGAAAAATTACAAAAGATATATAAATTAAATTAAATTTTGATATTCAATTGAAACCAAGACTAGAATTGTCTGCTTCTCGATTCTAAGACCCAAACAAATTGTTTGGTTCAATTTGATGACAAAGAGAAACACTCATAGCCATGTGAAATCATAATTATAGAACAAGACAAATCAAGAATCTTCATTATATTTCAGAAGTCCTTATTATATATAATCGTTTCAATCTTCAACTTACTTTTTTAAATTCATCGGTATTTTAAATAAGTCACAAACTATAAATATAATTTGTAAATTATGAGGTCGAGATCGAGATCATGTGTAGATTTGGCAGTAACAAAAATTCCAACAAATGTTGGTTTGGTAGACTTGTAAAATATATATATAGTTGACTAGCCACCATACATCACGCAGGTGGATGCAAAGTCACGAGAAATAGTAGAAATAGAATTTTATATTAGTGTTAATGAGTCAGCATTCATTTGTCAAGTTGTATATTTTTAGGTTTCAAATATTTAATCAATTAAGTTAAATTATTAATTAACTTGCCTTTTTATGTATATAAATTAGTTTTCCATTTTTTAATAGAAGATATGATACGTGCACAATTTTATAAATAAATGACTAGTTGCATGGGACGAGATATTCAAACTATGTCGACACCACAATTTAAGCAGGTCTCCCTCTTCTTTATAGATTAATTCTACTGATAAACTCCTCTATCGTTATATTATTTCAACTTTGTGGAAAGAATCACTAACTTATGCTTCGACTGACATGAAATACTAGAATCCTTTGTGAATATCCTGAATTCAAATAGTAATACTATGATAGCTATGTGTGTGTATTTTTCCTCTTAACCTCTGTTTTTCAAGATGAATGAAATTTAGGGCTGTTCGTGGATCGGTTCGTTTCGTTTCTGAAGAGACCCGAATCGACCCAAAACTTTCGGGTATTTAATAAATGGAACCGTCGGTCCAAATATTATGGAACCGTTCGAATTCGGTTCCGTTCGGTTCGATTCGGATCGGTTCCGTTCCGTTCAATTCCGTACATAATTAATTTTTTTAATATTTACAGTAACACTACATTTTTAAAATTAAAATTATGAAATAATCTAATTTATTTAATTAATTTGCTAATTTGTTTTAAAAAAATAAAATAATTTAATTAATTCAATATAAAAAATAAAAAAATTATTTAGTTTCGATTCTTATTCGATTCTTGGTCTAACCCGAGACTCGACCTAAACCCAGCGGTTCTCGATTCGGGTACCCGTTCGGGTATTTAATTTATAAAAAATCGCTCGGTTCGGTTCGATCCGATTCAGTTCGGGACTTTTGGACACCCCTTATGAAATCTGATCCATCGAACTACTCTAATACGATATTAAGTCCTTATTTGGCGAGGATTAGAATCAGATTTTTAGTAAATTTTGAAAAAAAATTAATAAAATATGTAATTGAAAAATCACGAGTCTCATAAAATACGTTATTAACATTAATTATTGATTTAGATTTAAATTAAAATCTAAATTTTATTTTTTATCAAACATGCACTGAAACTTAGAACTCAACACATAAATGGTTCTTATTATTAAAATATTCTCTTTGACTTGAAAAAATATTATTCTTTGATGGTTGCATTATGAATTTGCAATGAACTTAGACATTATTAAACTACAAAGTTTCTAGATGAATAGCTGTACCACGTGAGGGTGACCCTCTACAAGATATATTTTTTTGTTTTCTTTCGATGTGTGGTCAAATTTGAAGAGGGCTCCTTTGGATGATATTGAATTATTTGGGTATTTTCTGGATTGGTTCACGAGGAAAGGAAAAGAAATAAAATAAATTAAAATAGCATGCCAGAGTTGAATGTAATCTCATTGGAGATATGGCTAATCTTTGATATGTTTGAACGTAATACTTCAATTGAATAATAATTAAAATGCTTAATTATGTAAGAAATAACATCAAACTCGTGACTCGATAAGTTCTTTATTCTTATGATTTATTTTATCGTACTTCAAGTTCAATGTCCACCGTTAAACCCTGCATTGTACCCTTTTTTTTTTTGCATAAAATAAACTTACATATGTGTGATGGTTTGTCTAAAACAATACAAAAACCTAAATTGAATGTTATAAACACTTAATTTCAAATTATTTCAATAAACTAAGAATTATGTATTTTTCAACACATTAGTTTGTGTGCGCACGCACGCCTAAATGGACAGTTACAATCTTAATTATGCCTTGAATGGCTATAATAAGAGCATTCTAAGAG